TTTTTTACTTTCTTTTCTTCTCTTATCACACATTCAAGCACCCAGTGTTCATGTATAATTTCTATCTAAATTCTTCACTTTCTTCTTACACATTACATTTCAGAATAGCAATTCAGCGTCAGCTTTTCAGCATAAAGCATTCCCACTAGCAATTTCTTCAGGAATTGCATTCTCTAGTTTTAATTGCTGCTTACCATGCACAACAGATGGCTGCGGTGCAGCAAAACATAACTTGACATTGACAAACAGCAGAAAGCTAGCAGCTGTTACAGTTTGAAGGCACATACAGGAGTCAGTGTATAGCAATGATGCAAATCATGAGGGCACATCCACGTACCAGTGTTTCCTCTGTAGTTATTCTGCAGTGGTAGAAACCACAGCAATACATTTCTAACAATAAAGTATAATTTCTCCGTACAATTTAATTGCAGAAACAAAATCTAAATGTAGCATTTTATAAAGTACATTTCAAGTACTAATAAAAATGTTAACAAGATATTTCAAATTTCCTACAGAACGAAATACATTAGGGAAACACCAGCAACTACCAGCACAAAATAACATTTGATGGAAACACCGGTACATCGAGAGGCGCATCAGAGCCGTGCGTTTACCTTCCAGACTATACGAGGCAGTAGAGGCTGTGAGGACATCAGCTAAGTGGAAAACAGGCAAGATCAATTATGAAATGAAGGGAGTATCAACGTAAAGAAGGTGTTTGAAAAAGAGACAGAATAAAAGTGAGAACAGAATCTGATTCAAAGGTTACTTCATATAAAATCTACATTTCATGTATGACTCATTTCAGCCCTAGAATCCATTGAAAACAATTATCGGTGACGTTTGTGTTAGTTTATAGCTTCTGAAGTTTTGTCTCCAGGGCTCCCAACCCATCCCAGTTCTCCTTACCATCTGATAGAGACTCATAGTCGTAGTCGTACTCGTCTTCTTCCTCTTCCTCTTCCTCATTGGTGTGGTTGTTAGGTGAAGTAACCCCTGGTGACCCGTTGCTAGCCTGTGCCTGCATGTGGGCCAGCTGGTGAGCCTGTAAAAGGGTTCAAATGTTGTTTTAAAAAACAGAAAGTGCTGCAAAGTGATAAGAAGTGCATGTAAATCATTTTGAGGGAGAATAATATTTACACTGATATACCTGTAGCTCACATTTGATCTACATCTACACATCATCTGGGATTTTTAAACTATCAGCAGATAATCTTTACTGCATATGCTGTATACGGAAGAACATTATCTTAGGTAAACTGAGTGAAAATGGTGTACAGGAGGTGTGCATTTGAGCACATTAGCATCTATTATTCATGTGACAGCACTCTAATCAACACTGCTGTATATTGAATGTACTAATGCTACCTGCTAACTATAAATAATGTACATGTTTATGTTTGTGTGGACAGGAAGCCTTCTTCCTTTTTGACCTTTTGTTTGAGTATGTCCACCGGCGCCTGGTGTGCTTTGAGCTTCTTGTTCTTCAGGAGGATTCTCCCCCGCAGCTGCAGAGGAGACGGCAGGTGAGGGTCATCGTTGAAATCACTCTCAAAGAGGAAGCGAGTCACAAGGCGTTCCCCAATCACCGTCTGAAGGTAAATATTGAAACGTGATGGACACACAGTGAATAAATGATGTGAAATGATACGCGGTGGAGACCAGAACATAATGCAAAGCGATAGAAGTAGTGAAGAAGTGATTTTATCAACACAAATAAGATTCCAAATAAACAAGTTCAAATGGATGTAAGTTGGCCAGAGGCACAAAGCTGTCTCATCATGAAAGACTCTTTTTTTTTGTATCAAGCCACTCAGAAGTCAGCCTCCAGGGAGGAAAGGAGGCTGGGAAGTTTTGTCAGATGAAAGCACGATGATGTTCCATGATGTCTCCGTCATGCCCAGATTTGTGCGGGTGAGTAAACAACAAAGAAAGGCACAGTTTTCAGCCTGAATTTTATCAAAGCAAGCCTCTGGCTATGGAAAATATGTTTTATAATATAAATATAAATAATTTTCTACCGTTGATCAAGTGTGGTTGGGCCAGAAACTGGTAGGTGCATGTAATTCCTTGTATATAAAGCATGGTCTTGTTGAAATTGAGCATGTGGACCTACTAAAGAATCTAGAGTTTAGGTTTGGGTGCTGTCATACCTTGAAGATTTCAGCCATCTTGCGTTGCTGTGGAAGGGAGCAGTGGTTCTCTATTGAGAGGATGACGGGCATGTCCGAATTGACAAATGCAGACCGGTTTACTGCTTCCACCACATCCTGCAATATCATAGAAGAAATTGTATTCTCAGAAACAGCAAATATAAGACAATGAAGCTCTATGGAAACTACTAATGGCATTTACTAAAACATTTAGATAAAACATTCAAATAACTTACAGTTGTTTAAGAACTCGCGTTTGGAAAAATATGGTTACTAGTATTTTCCACAAGAGGAAGCAGCTGATGAACTCAGGTCAGTAGATTTGTTTTTATTAATTACCGTTGTATAAATACATCATACAGCGTTGCAATTGTGTAAATTGCTCCGTTGTGAGCCAGTGATTAATTGTTCTTTTCTTCTAGATCTTGTTTCTCTATTGAATTATTCAAATGCATGTCTTACCTTGAAGGGTATTTTAGTGGTGAGTGTGTGTCCATGATAAATAACTGGCATGCCATCATCTCCATCCCAGCAGTCCAACTCGACACTCCTACAGCCTTGAAGCAGCACCTGGTGAAAGATTGCAGTAATTGATAAGAAACAAATGTGACAAATAGGAGTTATGGGTCAAAATGTAAGAATAACAATTTAAGATATGGCTCTAATATGTGAAAGGCTAACTCACCTGACTGTAAAGCTCAACAGAGGACTCTCCTTTGAGCTGGTGTCCGGTCAGATAGGTGTTATGAGAAGACTCGATGTAGTAATAGGACAGAGGGTACTGCAGCTCCTCTGGGTTCACCATGGATTCCTCAATACGAGAAGCACAGTTCTCCTTATCCATCAGGAACCTGGAATGGAGGATGGGATTGTTTGACAAAAGAAACATAATGCTACTATAAGCTTCCCATGTTATGTTGTTTTTTCTATACCTTGCAAAGCCTTCAAACGACATCCAACCCATTTGTCTCATGCTCAACGAGGGCTCAAATCTCTGCAAGAGAAAAACATAAAATCCTTAATTACCATTATTGATCAACATTACCCTCTCCTTCCTTTTTTCTGAGGTTTCATTCAACAGTAATCCATTTATCCATCTTGTAAACATCTACATCAGGCATTTCTCTCATCTATCTCTCAGTCCCTAACTACAGTATAATGCTTTCATCTCTCCCTCATGATTTAGTCAAATAGATTTTTTTAAGTGCTCTCCTTGCACTTTCCTCAACCCTTTCTTCCAGGCTCTACCTGTATAATGCTGAGAATCTCGTCATAGCTCAAGTGCTCTCTCTGACAGTTCACTAGGAAGTCGTTGAGCTGAGGGATAGCCAATCCCAAGACGCCCAGTGAAGCATTTTCCACTCCCGTCCCGTTGGTCACGATGCTGGCGGCTGCGATGGCGTCTGAGATCTGCCTCTGGTTGTCAGACATCTGCTGCCTCGTCCGGATAAACAGGCCAAGGTCAGAGCCATTGCGGGTTAATAAGTCTGGAAAAGACCAAGAGAAAAATACGTTAAAAAGTGGTGTTTGGCAGACTTTATTGACTGATTAGACTACGGTACATAAATCAAGTGTTTTTACCGAGGTCTGGCTGTAGCCCCGTGTCTTTATCGTCGATGCTGAGGTTGGTGTAGAGAGGCGCAGACTCTGGAGTTGATCGACTGCAGGGGACAGCGAATGTGTCAAACAGCTCCTTCAAATCCTTCCTGCTTCGGATACTGTGGAGGAAACAGCACACAGCAGATTATAGTCAAATATTATTATCCACCTAAAACTGACAAGCAGTTTATTTTAGGATTTGTATTCCAATTTCCTACGAAACAGATGTGCAGCAGCATTTGTGTAAGATAAGCAGACAAATCATTTTTTTTAAAAGCCTTGTTACAATAGACAGTAAGCATTTTCTCTACAGAGCATTGGATCAATTTACCTTTATTCAAATACATTCAGTTTGATCTACATTTATTTTCAAGGCCAAATAAAAAGTCACATTAATAAACTTTTGTGTGACAAATATCCTCCATTTGTAATATTTGGTGTTGCTGTACTTTATATGCTCCTTGCTATTGCTAAACAGAGATTCTAAAGGGTTTTCAACCTTTACAGACAATGGTCAAATGGCAATACATCTCAAATAAGCAGGATTTATTAAGAGGCTGCTTTGCTGAAGTATTGTACTTCCAGTTTCTCAGCATTGCTTTAGCTGAGCAAGTGGGGAATTTAAGTGGAAACTGCTGGGCAGTGGATGAGAGTGTACCTGACAATCTAAGACATGCAGGAGGACTGGCATACTAACATTGTTTCCTTTGATTTGACAGGGAAAAAAGTTATAGAAGCTAAATATTTTACGCAGAAGAATGTCCAACGTCTGATAACCCTGAAAAGCATTTATTGGATGTTATCTAATGTCTTTAGCTGCTATTGATAATAACGCTGCAGTTATACAACCAGAGGGAGAGAGATAGCAGGAGAGAACAGAACATGTACAATATACATACATATATATATGCTACAGGCCTTTACTGAATGTAAAAATATGACATCTGTAACCAGGAAAATGTGTTTGAATATCTGGGGCAGTGTCTTCCTCCGCAGCTGATACAGTGCAACAACAATTTGAAAACAACGAAACAATTTGTGGGAAGATAATATGTTGTCAATACCTGAAAGACTTGAAGAGCTCGACAAACTCGATGAAGCTCATGGTGCTGTCAGAAATCATGAGATTCTGGAAGCCTTTAAAACAGCCTTTACCACGACCGTGCCATGACCTGCTAGTCCACGCCCTACAAGCCGAGGAAAATGAAAAGAAATCCCGAGGGAAACACAAAGGGATGAGAATCCAAACTTCCAAGTCTTCCACTTCCACTCCAGTCTTTGTTTACAATACGATACGTACCCTGGCTGTTGCTTGACAGTTCCAGAGAGGACAGGAGAGGACTGTGGGCGGGAATGGTTGGACCCCGCCATACTGGAGGAAGACGAGGAAGAGGAAGAAGAAGATCCAAGCAATCCAGGGCTTTTACTGGATGAGAGGGAGAATGGTCCAGGGAAGCTGTCCTCTACAGAGGCAAAGAGGACAAATAAGAATCATACAGACAATAAAGTGTGTAGTCTTTGGATTCTTACGATATAATGCCTTTGCTTCGGATACATCTACACATTTTTTATTCTTTGTTTGAATTGAAATAGATGTGTAAAGGGTCACCTGGATCTTCTTGGTCGATGCTGTCAGACTCCGGCCCATTCCGATACAATCCGTCTTTACAGCTCCGTGTTTTCCTGGAAACCATCTCGTCATCCGTGGCATCCCCACTGTCTCCCTGTGTCGGGTGTGGAAACACAATTTATGTTGAAAACAGGGAACTATTCAGTATTAGAAATTATATCAGTGTGAGTCCACAGGGCATAACAAGGAATACATTGTACCTCAAGCTTTATTTAACTTGTTCATGTACTGACCCTGACAAGGACCTTCTTCTTCTTCTTGGCTTTATCATTAGGGCTGTTTTTCTGGCCGCTGGGTTTTTCCACTCCGCCTGTACCCATGTTCCACCTCCGCCCACCAAACAGCTCAATGGCATGAGCCAGGGTAGGGCCTTCGTACCTGCCGTCCTCCTAACAGAGACGGACACACAGAGGGTTATACTTCACTCAATGCTTTTAATTCACAATAATGTTGGAAATAAAGGGGCGTGTACAAGAAAAGTAATGTTAAGTATACCTGATACATGCTGACATACTGCTTCCTCAGCCACTGCAACCTCTGGTCAGGAAACTTCTTTAATCTTCTGGTTGCATTCACCAACTCTGTCAGGCCCTTGTGGAGCATCCTTGCAGTGTGGTTGGGGGCCACAAAGTGCAGAAGCCTGGGGGCAGGAGTTAGGAGATAACGTGAAATATTTAGTAAACAGCAAGATGTTTTTAAGTACTAGTGTAGCAATGCACAAGCTTTAAGAAAGAGGTATCAAGGAACTAACCTGTTGTCGGTGGTACTGAGACCGTAAAGGAGGCTGAGGCCATTTTCCTCCACCGTCATCTGGCTTAGCTTGTTTTGCAAACATACTGCATGGACGTCCACTCCCTGATGACCCATGAACACTGCCTGTACATTCAAATAGACAAAGTTAAGGAAGTGGCTCAAGACAATAGAAATAAATGACGGTTCTAAAGGCCAAAGATGCAGCCTAAATACCAGATACATATTTAATCAACAAACCTTCACAACTGCCAGGTCCAAGAGGCCCTCTGCTAGTCCTGCCACTACAGACTGTCCTAATCCCAGTGGCTGCTCTGCAGGGGAAGCCCCTCCGCTCTGAGGATTACCTGTCAAAAATCAAAACATTTACAATATGTTTGAAATGTAGTTAAGCCATAGGAAATTGAGCAATATTTATAACCTGTGCTCAATTACAGAGTATAAACACATATAAAGGATGTTTAAAATATAATAATGACACAGGAAATATGAAATAGATGCCTGTTTTCCGCAGGGGTGTCAAACTCAATTTCATCGCGGGCCACATTATAATTATGGTTGCACTCAAAGGGCCGGTGGTAACTTTAAGACTTTATATATATACATAATATATATAAAATAATTTATTATTTAACAATATTTCCTCTGCATTGGATTATTATTGGATAGGGTAATAACTTCATAATTAACTACGTCTGAAAGCAGAAGTCTAGGGCAAATAATTGCAAGTAATTGAAAGTCTCTTCAGTGCGCATCTCACAAAATGAGATGCATTGTGGGACATGTAGTTTATGGGCAACGTGCTCCTGTAAAGCGGCACGTAACCTTATAATAAACGTATTATATTTTTTGGAAGCTTTTGTGGGCCACATACAATGAAGTGGCGGGCCGGATTTGCCCCCCGGGCCTTGAGTTTGACACCCCTGGTTTAAAGAGTAATAATGCGAAAGGAAATTGGGCTTGACTGAGATATAAACACACATACAGACAGACATCTCAACTTGTACAGATGACAAGATAAAATAATAAGATAAGATTTTTACAAAGCAATTCAATTTCATGTCAATTAACTAACTAACTAATTAACTAACTAATTAACTAACTAATTAACTAACTAACTAACTAACTAACTAACTAACTAACTAACTAACTAACCAACTAACTTATTAACTAATTTAAGTCAATAAAATCAAACGTTTCGTGTAAATAATTCTTTAAAACAACAAACTTTAACCCTCTCACTGCTGGAAAATAAATGAGAGGGTTATATTTGAAAATATAACAGTCTGGAAAATACAAATCCCAGACAACAAGGTTGTAAGTTAAACTAAAATGTTTCGTATACTTTCTTTATATTTTCTCAAAGCTATTAAAAAGTAAACTTGTATATTTTTGACATATCTGAACGATGAGTCTGAATAATGGCTAACAAGCTGTTCCAATCTCAGGGGAAACCCAGACTCTTTTGAATTGTGTAGTGATTTTTTTTTAATGACACGGTCATCACTTACCCCAGGTGAGTGTTGTGTTGTCGGGCTGTAGCCGCAGCAGGCAGCGAGCGGTGAGGTGGCTCTCCTGGTCGTAGTGGATGACCGTGGCCCCCTGCAGCAGAAACTGGTGGACGTCTGGCTGCAGCGACAACACGTACCTGAGGAATGGAGAATACAATAAGCGTGGAGTGTTTGTTGAGCTTCATATGTGTGTGTGTTGGGGTTTAAGTGTGTGTTTCTTACCAGGGAATAAGCTCAGTGCCATGGCTGAAGGCTCTGTGCGTCTCCTCAGTCCCCTGAAACTCCACCTCCTTCACCCCCGGCTCAGACGACAAGTCCCCCTCCGAATCGGACAAATCCCCCACCATGAATCTAAAGATGGGTAGAAGGTGGGTTACAAGAGCAGAGAGGCAGTTTAGGATTATGAAACTACAAATGTTATTTTATTTATTTCACAGAAATCTGTAAATAAATATGTTTCTTGTTTTCATTTCAACTACCGGTACTTCACTTGGTGAGGTAAAGTAGTATGTTTTAAACAAATGAGTTACTGTCTAGTCAAAAGAAAGAATTGAGCTGCATCTACAGTAAGACACAGAAATGTATCCTGTACTGTAGTGCATCAGTTGAGTATCATGCGTCATGCATTTGTAATTGCACATTCCTTGACAGCAACTTTAACCATGTTAATGTTAGGCAGCGTAATGACAATCCTGACACATTTATAACCACTTACAAGACATGGTTTGATTCTGACGGTGTCCTAAAAGAATGGGAACTAGAATAGAAAAAGGGGACAAAGAAGCAAGAAGGGAAGTGTGAGACCAACAAAGATCGAAACAAGTTCAGTACACAGAAGTGAAAAGAAATATAGCAATAAGGTAATGCAAGAAGGAAAGATCAGAAACACATGGAAATAATTCCGAAACATCTCTGAGTAAAAAAGATTATCTGTATCCAAGACAAATGAACTCAATACACCAAGCCAAAATGGAATAAGAGTTGTTATCCTGAGCTCTAATGTGAGCGAATAACTCAGAGTCAGAGAAAACTGTCCAGAAACACAGAGAAGACAATCCAGGTTCCCATAACACAAACAGTGCAGGCCGAGCTTGAAATGAAATGAGTCTTCAACAACATTGTAAGTTAGTGTCCAAATTCCAGCTTGTGTCATTAGCTACCTGCCACCAGTGTGCTGAAAAGTACCAGAGCTCAGTTGCTTCCTGCTCTGACAGGAAACTAACCTGTTATCTTCTATCTCTGTGACACAGGAGTTTATGTGAACATCTCCTCATCTCAATAACAATCTGCACAAGTGTTTTTCATAAGCTCATTAGCTTGAAACAAAAGGAACATGGCCTACAGACCACATATTTCTAAGCCCTGAATCAGCATCAAGTTGTTTAGTTAATCAAATACAAATGTTTCAATATATTTACAGCTTCTAAAAATGCAATTCTTAGTCTTATGATAATCATTTCGCAGCAGCTGCCTTATTTATTCTGAAAGGGACTCCTTTGGTTGGATGTCCACAAAAGCCTTTTCAGAAACTTCTAACAACGGGACAGTTAAACACCTCAGCAGTTTTTATAGTTCAGATATAAATCTATATATGACGGACCATATTTTAGTTTGTCTTTAAGTCCTTGTCTGTAAAAGAACAGGAAGTAAAAAACAACTACATTTTGACAAATTGAACTTTGGCAGGAAGGGTCATAGAGCAAAACAATACAACCTCTCCAGTCTGCCTTAAAGGAGTGGTTTGCCTTTTTTTCCCAATAAGCAAATAAAGCAATATATAAGTATAAAAAAAATAACATTTGGGGTTTAATGTTCTTTAAGCACAATACGTGAATAAATAAAATATGTGCTCTACACACCACCTGTTTATTATAACAAGAAGCGAGAACAGGAAATACATTAAAACAGCCGTAAACAAAAAAGTGAAAGCTACTGCAGTAACCAATCAAAGATAAACAATGTTGCGGTTTCTTGATGGATTAAATCAAATGCTATATGCCATCTGATACTGCACTGTATATCTCATAAGCTTATTTAACACTGCACCTTTCTAGGGTGGTAAGCAGCACTCTTTCGTCTTGAGAGTTGTTGTGCAGACCCTGATGCTGCTCACTGAAGGAACTCTATCTTTTTGGTAAAGAAAATATAGAAAATATGGAAATGGAGGTACTGACTGATTGCGGCAGCGGTCCCTGAAGGAGTTGTTTCTGGACGTAGGGGATTGGCCAGTAGACGAAGGACTGGTGGAAGCATCGTCAGGATCCTCTGCCTCCAAACTACGATTACAGGATCTGGGGGTAAAGAAAGAGACGAGTCAAAGGAGAATAAAGTGAAGAATCATTTGAGAACAAAGCAAAACAGCGAGTAGGAAAAAGTGGAACACAAAGCGGGAAGTGACGAAGACAGACACTTGTTTTGCTTTCACTCCATAGTCGTAAGTATGGATTTTTACCTGATAATCTGGAGGATGTTGCTGACAGTGGCTTCTTTCTCTGGGATGTGTAGTCCATCAGGACCTGACCGCGACATGAAGTTGTGCTGGCCGCTGAAGTCAGACACAAACTAAACACAAATGAAAGCAGATGGAATTTAAATATGATGTCTGATTATTCAGTGCATAAGTCAGTAATATGAGATGCATGTGTTTGTTAATACGTGTGAGTGTTTGCTGCACCTCTATGGAGTCCTCTGTATTATCCACAGGTGGTTTCAGGCTGATGATGCTGGCTGTCCCATCCAACGCTTCACTCAGCTCCTTCAGAAAAACCCCACAGAATGGCACCACCTATGGTCAGAAAAAAACACATTCCAAGTAAGAAATAATGTGAACTACTAAAGTGACACATTACAAATCACACCATTAGATTCCCAGGCTGTGGACGAGTACGGTACACCTCCTTTTAATCAAGTGTTTTGTTTTTGTATTTTCTATTGTAATAAAAAGTCAACAGTTTTTTTATTGACCTTATCACTCCAAATCAAACCTTTAAAAAACAACAACCCACCTTGCATCCTGGGATATTGAGGGCTCTGGTCACAACCTTTTTGTACTCAGCAGAAGACTCGTGCTGAGCCATGGCGTCCTTCAGGCTCCTCATGGTCTCGATGTCTGACTGATCCATAAACTGCCACATCTTCAGCACTTTGCGGGACCTGGGGGATAAAGAAAATCTCTGTTGGTCAAACGGGATATTTTGCGTGATCAGGTTTTTAATAAAAACATTATTTAGACAAAAAGATTCAGAACATTAATCACTGTGTACATAATTGCGTGTTTTTGTGTGTGCTTTTGCACCTGAGTCCAGCCAGAAACTCCATGACACCGTTGTAGTTCCCCATGTTCCAGCAGCATTTAGCGACATGGACCAGGTAGGAGAAAACTTCTCTCTTCTCCTCCATGGAGCCAGCAGTCAGGATCAGCCACGTCACCCATGAACTCACCTGGTGACAAAGAGTTCAACATACAGTTTCAGCCCACTAACACTTTCATTAGCAACAATTCGCTGATTACTTTCTTGATTGATCCATGGTTTAAAAAGCAATCGGAAATGTGTTGGAATATTGAGTTTATTATTATATAAAACAAGGAAAAGCAGGAAATCTCCATATTTGAGAATCTAAAAAACAGCATCTTCTGACATTTTTTGGGTAAATAATTACTCCACTTAATCGATGATAACAATGTGGCTAATTTGCGACAAATTGTTAAACATTTTAAACTAACTAACTTCGCCCTCTCTCATGATGAAAATTCTGCCAGCTACATGAAAATAATTGTATATATTTAAGCATATGCAATTAATAGTGGACGCTTGCATAAACTCTTTATTGTGTGTGGTCTTGTTTTTTCATAAATCCTCTCTTTTAAAGTCTGCTTTGGCAACATGTATCTAAAGTTGTACCACACACACACACACACACACACACACACACACACACACACACACACACACACACACACACACACACACACACACACACACACACACACACACACACACACACACACACACACAACAAAGAATGCGATCAGATAGGTGTCAGCTTTACCCGCTGAATGCCCTCAAACACACGCAAAAACTACGATGGAAGAGCCAGATATGTATCAGGGTCAGCTTCCTTTAACATTCTCTGCAACACGCAGGCACACACAACACAGACAAAGATCAGATTTCAGTTTTGCTGACTCTTGCTCTCTAGTGTCTGTGTCTCTATGTGTTAAAGACTCATGAATGTATTCACACATGCACATAAATGCACCAACACACACACAATGAAACTCTCTAACCCCTCTTGCCTTGCAGGCGGTGAACACATCCCCCTGGCCCACAGATCTATTACTGGGATATGTAAGGGTCTGTAAAGCCCACCACAGTCTGACTACACAGGGACTAAATAAAGCCACACAAACATGTAACATAGTACTCAGTTTCTCACATAGAGTTTTTGTCTCAGCTTGTCATTTTTTTTGTTTGCCTCCGTCACCTCTGTCCTCAATATCTATTAAATTATAACAGAAACACAGAAATCATACATCACACATGCAACCAAACCCCCTGCCCTTGTACACAACATGGGCCCATTAACATACACTACTGTATGTATGAGAGTATTTATGTAGTATGTATTCACATAACAAGCTCTGGCACATGTATATTATAAACACAGTTTACAGACATCCTAGATTAGATATTCTACATACCGTTAAATTACTTCATAAACAGATAATCTACAATTTTGATTAAATGCTATACTGTATTCGTCTAACTATTTTATGTTAATAGTTGTACGGTTTGTTAAGTCTTTTTTTTTTTTTCCCTTATCCAATAAGAGCAAAAGCACACCAGTTTATGCAATCCTGTATGGTTCAAGCAGAGGGTGCCTGAGAAAATATAATCCTTCTCAAAAAGATAACCCACCAATGTAATATCTTCCTTCACTCAAATAGAAAACATGAATATGATTAGGTAGTTCAGTCACACTAGAATGAAACAAGTTTGAAATGTTATTGTTAAGAGAACAACAGCCTTTTCAGCTGAAGCTTCCCATTTGATCATATTCTTTTATCATTATTGCATGGACTTGTTGATGTTTGAGTGTGAAATAACACATGTACTCGAGGATTTAGAGTCTTACTCCATTATGTTTCAGTTGTATTAGAATGCACAGTATATGGCTTACTGACAAACCACCCTGCCGCCCAACACTATCTCACTGTATCTGCTCTGTGCGTGCCAGGATGTGCGCTCCCTACGTGAAAATGTGCTATCAGTCACTTCTAGCATTATGACATAAAGCGCAGCCTTGTCAGCGCCTGGGTTGAATTACAGTCACCATTTGAACCACTCTGACCGTCTGCAAAGTGGCTTTTTGAAGCGCCACGGATCAAGGCATTTTACAGAGTTGGCATCTCTTCTGATATTCCAGATAGCAAAAGTGTGTGCTCAGTGTTGTGTGCGAGAGATAATAGACAGGATATGAAGAGATATATAGAGAGAGAGCGAGTAATGGCACTGAAGAGCAGGACAGAGCAAGAGATGAGAACAGACAGGAGGAACACAGTAAATCACGCTCAAGTTGGGCAAAATGTACAGTGTGTTATCAAAGCAGCTTGATAACATTTTCCACAAGATATACTGTACACACACACACACACACACACACACACACACACACACACACACACACACACACACACACACACACACACACACAGAACAGGAGCTAGGTACAAACTGATCCCCCCTTTGATGTCTGTATATGTGTCCATCTGTTTGTCCGTCTGGCTGTCTCCATCTGTCTGTCTGTGTGTGTGTGTGTGTGTGTGTGTGTGTGTGTGTGTGTGTGTGTGTGTGTGTGTGTGTGTGTGTGTGTGTGTGTGTGTGTGTGTGTGTGTTATTAGTTGAACTATGAGGGTCAGTTGATCCTTGATACATGAATTACATAACCAAGGTTGACAGAGAGCTATGACAAAGTCAACACATGAACACATAGTGGTCCTGTCAGAGCTAAACACTCGAGACAGGGGCCCAAACTTCTCACTCCTCCCTGACTCCAAATGTTCTCCTCCCATGCTTTCCATCCTGCTTACTACAATCACTCACTCCCATACACAGATTAAAAATGGACAAGATTAAAATGTTACCTATGAATATAAATGTTGTCAGTCAAATCCCTAAAGTTAAACATGTAAAAGCTTAAAACCCAATTAAGTCATCTGTACTGTAGAGAATATCTCTTGTTGGGAATTCATTAATAAAAAAGGAGACCGAAGCCTAGTAAAGAATAAGTAACCGTTACAAAGGCTTCAACTTAACTATTTTCATTAAGTCCAAGAAAGATCAACAAACAAGGCTAAAATAACTCAAATATGTTATCAAAATATTTTTGCTTTTTTGGGTTGAAAAATGGCTTAAAAACGAAATAAATGTTCAATTTTTTTTGTGTTAATTAACGGTTCAGCTTTGTTGTTAATGCTGCCAATAATACAAGTTGTCAAAGAATAAAAGCAGGGGGATCCAGTATATATATAATAATATATAACAGGTGATTCAAAAAGTTGAAAGATGCTTAACACATTTTTTTGTAAATCTTTGGCCTAACACTGACCACAGTGAGTCATGGTACAAAACGGACGACTCGACACTATCTAATTTTCGTTGGAGGGATTCCCAATTGAAAGCCAGCTTCATCGGGGTCTTCAAAGGGAGAATTGCTGTTGTCATTTGACTCTTGTTCCATTGTGCCCATATATGGCTACAATGCGCCTTTGATTTTTTTGTGTCTCTCCTCTAGCTGACTTAAATGAAAAGCAGCTGATGTGAGAGGCATGCAACCTAAAGATGACATCATAATTACCGATCAATCTCGCCCCGTCTCGCTTTCTCTTACTCGGCAGTGCAATGTTGTGGTTGTTTATTCTCAAAGTCACTCACCATAAAAGACACAATGCCCCAGAGAGTAACTTCAGCCAACTTACAGTACACCTCTGTGAGTGTGTGTGTGTGTGTGTGTGTGTGTGTGTGTGTGTGTGTGTGTGTGTGTGTGTGTGTGTGTGTGTGTGTGTGTGTGTGTGTGCCAGTACATGCAGTATCTGCATCAGTCTTGAGCTGATAAGTTGGTATGACTCGCAAGGCAAATACCACAACGCAAATCCAGCTGAAGGAAAACACAATTACTTCTCTGCTATGCTTTCACATTTATATCAAATAGCAATAAACGCATTTCCACTGTCTTTGATGATGTCATTAAGGGGGGGGTGCCTAAAGGGCACTCAAGCACTGTTTTCTATCAATATTTTCCCAATAGTTAAGAAGTGCTCTCATCAACATGAATAACATCTCCATGAGGTCTTGTTTAAAAAGTTTTTCAAGCCATTCAGAAGTCACTCCACAGTTTTCTGATTGGTATCACAGATTTCAAAGTGAGCTCATCCCACTAAAATCCTGTAGTAAAAACTGAGCTTGTGAGATATACTGTAGGCTGACTTCACAAGTTTAATATGATGAGTCATAGCCTCTCAAAGGTCCCACAAAGAAAGGGAAACCATTTGGATGTTAGGTTTGAAGTACAGCTGAAACAATTAATAATTTGTCTTTATATTAATCTGCAGCTTTTTAAATGATTAGTTGAATGCGTGTTAATGTAAACCTCACCTCATTGAATCGTGCCACCAGGTCCTCCACAGCATTGCTTCGCTGAGCACTCTGGGTAGGCATGGCGGGCACAGACAGTGAGGCCTTGAGGTTAGGGTGGCGCTTGTTTTGACACTCGGGACTGCCTAGGTCTCGAGTAAGGAAACAGAGGTAGTCCAGAGGAAAGACCTGCAGAAAGAAACAGACAAATGTGAATTTTATTATTAATTCTGCTTATTTAAACTCACATATTCCCCAGACATGTGTTTGCGTCCTCTCACCCGCTGGTAAAGCTGCTGCTCTTGCTCGGTGAGGATGCAGGCGATCTCCTCGGGGAACTGAACAAGGTGACGCACGTCTGCCAGCTCCTTACTGATCCCACTGACACTGGGAGGCAGAGAGCCGCTGCTGGTCATACTGTTGGCCAGCTGACGCTCTGCATGGGCGGGAAAAAAGGAACAAGAAAGACATCAAGACGTTTACTTTCCTGATCTTACTTTTACACAACATATCCCCATTGAGCTGGTATTCTATGGCGAGAGAAAAAGCTGTTGAACTCACTAAAAGGAGAAGAGGTGAGAGTTAATAGACGCAAAGAGGGTGGACGGGTTGCCTCCACTAGTAGTAGGCACACAAGGGAAGAAGAGACTGCTGTTGTTCGTATGAGAAATTCAAAAGCAGAAACCAGAGAAGGGAGTCAAAGGGAGACATTTTCCACTCTGATGTTTCTCTCTCACCATAAAAAGTTTTAAGCCTCATTGAAATGTGCATCTCTTTTTACGGATTAACCCGAATGCCTCGAGTTTTCTGATCCATCAATCCCTGCATACCACATTCTCTCTAACCCCCCGACCAGCCAAGAGAGGCCTGCACACTTCACCCTCCAGAAGTGAACAGCATTGATCACCTGCCAGTTCCTGTGTTTGGATTTCAGTTGGATCCATTAGTCTGTCTGTTTACACACACACATATGCAAACCTGTCCTCATCTCTGCTAACAAAGGACTAATGGACATTTTCTACACTGGTGCTGCCAGGTAGACATACTGTACATTGTCGGGATGAATGCCACATAAACAGGATTTTCCAGCGCAGGAGCTTTTCCAGGAATGGTTTTAGGGACTGCATTTTGATCATAGAAACGAAAACATATTCTACTCAGTGGGGAATTATTCTACAACAAAAAACAATAAATGTTGCTGAAATCCTCAAATACAAGCCATTACAAAAGAACCTGACAGCTAACAGCTTTAATCTAAACGGTATTTGTGCCTAATAAAGGGCAAATAGAAAAAAGGGAGTGTTTCAAACATGTTTTTATGAGCTATGAAATGATATGCATGCTAATTAAGTAGCTCTTGTCTTTAGTATTTAATTTGCTCTATATGCTACAAAGATCTGTTTAGCAGAGTAGTGTTTAAAATAAGTGAAATATTGACTGTATTATATCATGAATGCAAGAAATAGTACATCAAATAGATTGACCCCCATGAATTAGACAGATTTGGTCTGTTCATTCACACACACGCAGAAACACACCTGGTCCCCTCTCGCAACCACACACATAAAAAACTGTGTATGCATAGATATATACGAACACGCACTTATAGGTTGTCCTTGGTAACTCTTAGCAACAGGTAGCCATGGCAACAGCAGTGGCCGCTCTGCAGGGGCAAATTTTGCTTATTTACACAGTTTGATTTGTGGATCCGGCCTGCAGCTTCTGTAACGAACTAAGAACACAGAGACCTACTGTGCACAAGAGACACTTCAACAACGAGAAGTGACAAAGGAAGGGAACAAAGAAGCAAAGAATAAGATAAAGCTTAATTGGTTACTGTATTCAAGGACAGACCAAGAAAAGGTGGAACAAAGAAAAGAACAATTGTTTGAAAATGCAAGGAAATAGGAGAAAAAGGACAGCAGAAGAGAGACAGGAGAGAAGGAAAGAGTTGAGATAGAGAGGAAGGAAGGGATAAGTAGATTAAGTGGAAATGTTGTAGTTTACACTGTGCTACAGGTGTGAGCTATCTATCACAGTTACAGAGACATCGTAATCCACTGAATCCTTTAAATGTTACACACAGAGACAGACTACAGGTTATGAATGATGGTTCCTCTATAATGTCCAAGCCTGGAAAATATCTTGACATTTGTGCACCACGTTTTTACAAAGAACAAACACGTTTTGACAACTGAGAAGAGAGAGCCTGATCTCTTAAATATATGGACTTTAAATAAAGTTGCAAACTGGAGAAAAAGTATCCTTTTTACTGAGAGATTTCCAAAAAGTGTAATGGTAGAAACGTACAGCTGCAACTTATAAAACAAACCAAGTAAAAGTGTTAAATCAAACCACATAGTTAAGATTTGAACTGTCATCCATTGGAAATGTGTTTTAGCTAGTGTCAAAAACAGATACTTTTAGTTGAACTGCTGTTAAATTAGAATAACAAATTGTGGAAGATCATTAACCATTTTTGATTATCTTATTAGAAAACATGTCATTAAGATTTTAGTACAGTTTAAAATCAAGCATATGAGCAATGTCTCTTCCTTTCTGGTCTGGAGCTGTTTTCACATGCTAACCTTTTGAAGTGGAAATGGAGACAGCTAGAATGAAGTGATATGAATTGAATGACGCTGTTGAAGATTTAATAATTCATTTATTCCTCCTTTAAGCTAGGGAACACACGGGCAGGTAAAGCTTTCAAAAAGGTCCTAAGAGATTCTGAAGAATTGATTAAAAAAGCAAATGTGCATTGATACAGAAAAAAGAAAATCCCAACCACAATATGTTAAGAGTTCATAAAAACAACTGTGGTTTATATAACGTTTTCTAAATGTTGATTCTTAAAAAATGCCAAAGACCCTTCATTTTTAAAATCACACTGTTTCGTGTCGAAACCAAGGCTCCCAAAATAGAATAAATGATTAAGAAAATATGTTATATAATGTATAAAATAAATTGCTATGTGCTTTATCAATGTGCTCCTTCTTCACTCAACTGTGCAATATCATTTTTGACAACAGATAAACAAACATTTAAAGCTGAATGGAATGAGACTGTGGATTCCAGTGATTTCTAATATAATCTGCGATCCACTCGTGAGAAAAAATGTAATAAAAGTAGTTAGAAGAACACTGATGAGCAATACTGAGCATACTGCACTCCTGCTGAAGGAACATGAGCCTGGACTAATAGACCATGATCGCCCATTTTGATGCACGGGTTCTCATGTGCTACAGTATGCATGCTGAATACAAATCCACATCCGCTGTGCTATGCTGTGGTGGCTTTGATTTCTATATATTTCCTTTTTTTCATGGCATTTCTGATTTAGCAGCTGGCATGCAATTAACAGAGCATGTGGTGGATATATTATTAAAAACAGAATTTCAGTATTTAATTTTGTATGTCTGATTTTCAGAGGGTAGATTAGTGCTGCATGTGTGTAGTTCTGTAAATCATTAATCAATTAATGAACATTAAGAGTAATGCATTAAACTGTTGATGTCTGCATCACTAGTGTTCATAAGACCTCACTGAAGCTGAACAATTGGCTAATGGTATTAATTATTTGTAAAAAGGTAAGACACTCATGTCATGATCAGAATCAGGTTTAGTACCAGGTAAGTTTACACATTACAGAGAAGGTGCTTTGGTGTGTATTAGGTGCAGATAAAAACATATCAAGAGGAATACAATTGTGAAAACAGAGCAAATAAAAAACGATTTCTTATATGATGATTTACTCTATACAATTTGAAGCAGGAGCTCTACCCTCTAATTATAGCAACAGCAAATGTACTTTCACCATCACCACCACCAAAACATAATTATATATGGATAACAAAATACTAAATCAATGTCTCATTCAGTGAAATCCAATGACAATAACTGACTCATGGGGAACACTGTAAGACATGAAACTCAATCTGAAAGGATACAGGTGACATCTTTCAACACTATGAGGTTTGTTCAAGTACACACACACACACACACACACACACACACACACACACACACACACACACACACACACACACACACAGCTGATGACAACTCCTCCGCTGGAGTATTTAGGGCACTCAAACAGGTGCAGCACAAACAGCCCGAGTCAAAGGACCGTTAGATTAGCCCTTTGAACCTATAAATATCATAATACATTTAAAATGATTTCCTCTTGACAATATCAACAATCTTATTTTGTTTTCCGGTTCTGTGTGGGGGATTAAACTGTCTGATATCTGAACTACTGTAATGTTGCATCACCACAAATGTAAATCAGGAACACAGTTTAAATCTGATTTATTCAGATTTTCAAAAACTGCTGAAGAAAACAATAAAAAATCGTCCATTCAAATCTCTCCAGCCACACTGTAGCATCAGACAGCTTCCATTCATGGTCGTAGACACACACACAAATCAACAAGTAGTAGCAAAACAAACTAACACATGCACAGCAGCATGCACAAACATACAAAACCAAAGAATCATAACACACACATGCAACCGTATACACAGACACACACAGCCACCACAGAAGCAATACACATTGATCCATCTGACAGCTTTCAGTCTCCGTCTGGAATCAGATAGGCGCACAGAACCACGTGCAGACATAGATATAACATTTAGTTTTTCTCTCTTTCTTGGTGGGGAGGACAAAAAAACGTGATGTCGATAAGAAGTTTGGAGAGATTAAACAAAAGGCTCTTTGTAATGAATCCAAATGTCAAATCAGAGCAATGAATATGTCACATCATTAAGTCAAGTGAAAGTACATTTGATGAGATTTTTTAAAAGTACATCATTTTCTTTGTAATATGTTATTCATATAAGAGGTTTCAGGTCAAACTAAACTGTATTTTTGCACAGGATATATTGATATGTAAATTAGCTTTTTCTGTGTAACTTTACTGTGACTTGACACAAATCAGATGTAACACAGGTCACTCAGTGTCTGACTGTAAGGTGTCATACTGTATCCGCAGAGACAAAACGTATCCACGGCCAAGTGTGACAAAAGCTCTCGGGGTCAACTCAGTGTGACGTTGCCCAGAGATTCTGAGATTCTTGACTGTCACTCTGTCAGGTTTCTGGTATGAAGGAGGCACATTGAACATCCTCACACACAGTTTTCCAAACTGCTGCATCATCCATCACATAAAGAAAGTAGAAGGGCACTCAGAGAGCGCACACCTCTGCCAAAGCCAAATGTCCTAGAGTCATAAATAAAATTTGTATCTGCCCTGTTTTATGGATCCATTCCAATATTTAATAGGTTCTTCCTTTGCCCATTCTATACCCTTGCACCCCTTGCCATTTTCATGAAAATCAAGGCGGTGGTTTTCCGTAATGTTGCTGGCAAACAAACAAACAATCCGAAAAACGTCAACAAAAAATCCTTACCAAAAGTTTAAAAAAATCTAA